TTTTTCTATTGATTTTTAGAGAGTGTAGAAGGGAGGGGGAGAGACAGAGAGAGAGAAACATCCATGTGAGAGAGCCATCTCGATTGGTTGCCTCCTGCACATGCCCTGACTAGGGCCAGGGATCGAGTCTGCAACTGAAGTATGTGCCCTTGACTGGAATCAAACCTGGGACCCTTTGTGCCGGGGGCCAACACTCTATATACTGAGACAAACCAGCTAGGGCTCTCTCCCAGTTTTTATCTGCCACACATGGGTGTGTGACCAGCCTGTTTTGTGTCTCCACCCCTCCTACCAGTCTCGATGTGTCTCCTTCTTGAATTCCCTAGTTGTGGGACTTCCATCCAACCAGATTTCAGGTGTCTCTGAATGATGTCTGTTCTGCAGTTTGGTTGTAATTTTGATGTGGTTGTGGGAGGAGGCCAGTATTACATTTACCTATGCTGCCATCTTGACAGGAAGTCTGAATCATTTTTGATTCAGAGATGTTGACATGTTTCACACACTGTTTTTAAGCCTGTTTTTGGTGAAAATAACTTTTTTATTTTCATGCTGAATGATAACATAATCTGAAGATAATTTAAACTGCAATTAGACCACATCTGTAGAACCAAGAACACATATAACTCGACTTAGGCTATTTCAGTGAGAACAGCTACATCCACACACCAGCGAGGATGACTGTGGAGCTCCTGACGTCTGGCTGGCATGTACAAGCTGCATCCTGACCTCAGAGACGTGAAAATATAAAAAGTCTGCCTTAGATCACTGAAGCAGGGTTTTATTTCTAGAGCAGAGGCATAGCTGAGACCTGATTTTAGGAGGTGTGGGCTCAGCAAACCCAGTGGAAATTCACTTTCCCAGCTTTCTGTGACAACTGCTGGACACACTGTTATCTCTTGTGTTCAAGTCTGGACCCCGGCGATGGTGTGGGAGTGGACAGAAGGCCCTGGGGGAGGGGGAATGACCTCAGGACAGCATATCTCCAGCCTTGAGAATACACAGGGGCTCCTGTTATGATTCTTTTATGAATCCCTTCTTGGAGGTGTTTTCCAAACCCTCCACTTTCCCTCCCTTATCCCAGGGAACAGAGAGGAGCTGAGAAAGAGATTACACACACACACACACAGATATCTCCCCCTTTGGCTGAGCTAGTGTCTCAAATGCTGATGTTCCCTAGGACTACCCACAACGTGCCCATTTCTCAGTGTCCCTTTGACTATCAACTATCTAATCGCCTGAGGGAGCTGGCCACCCCGAAGGTCCGGAATAACATTTGGAACATAGACATGTCTGAGGTAGGTGACTGGCTCTCCTGAGAACCCCACCTCAATGGTAGGGGCACTGCCTGCGCTCAGTGGGCTGGGATCAGGGACCTAGACAGACAAGCGGGAACGGACTCCAGAGCAATAGACGAGTGGCTTTGGCCAGCTGTCTTGTTTTCATCAATCTATACTTTATTTCATACACAGACCCATAAACCATAATCATCGTGTTTTTAATATACATATACTAGATGTCTGGTGCACGAAATTCGTGCACTGGGGTGGGGGTGGGGGGTCCCTCAGCCTGGCCTGCGCCCTCTTGCAGTCTGGGAGCTGTCAGTCGGACATCCTTAGTGCTGCCATGGAGGCGGGAGAGGCTCCTGCCACCACCACTGCGTTCACCAGCCATGACCCCCGCTTCTGGCTGAGTGGTGCTCCCCCTGTGGGAGCACACTGACCACCAGGGGGCAGCTCCTGCATTGAGCGTCTGCCCCTGGTGGTCAGTGCGTGTCATAGTGACAGATTGTTCTGTTTGGTCGATTTGCATATTAGCCTTTTATTATATAGGATGGCATCTTCTTGCTTTTCCCCTCAATATTTGTTTTTGAGAGCACATCATGCTGATTTATATAGAAGCAACGTTTTAACTGCTTGGTCATGTTCTATCCTACGAACATACCATAGCTAGTTTACTCAGTCCCCTATCAATGGACAACTAGGTCGTTTCCAGCTGCAATGAATACCACTGCCCTCAAATCCTTGTACCCTCACTAGGTGTTTCTCTATATGGTGGTTATCGAGTGTGCACATACTCAGCTTTGCCTGAGATGGACAAATGGTTCTTCAAAGTGCTTATATTAATTTACTCTCCCACCAGCAATGCATGAGGACATCTCTGCTCCCACATTCTTTTTTTAAAAATTGATTTCAGAGAGAAAGGAAGAGGGAGAGAGAGATAGAAACACCAATGAGAGAGAACCACTGATGGGCTGCCTCCTGCACGCCCCACCCTGGGGATCGAGCCTGCAACCCGGCATGTGCTGACCGGGAATCGAACCATAAACTCCTTATTCATAGGTTGACACTCAACTACCAAGTCATGCCATCTGGGTTCCTTCCACATTCTTGCCAGGGCTTGACAATGTCAGACATTTTCATTTTTGCCTCATTTGTTTGCTTTCAGGGATACTTTGTTGTTTTAATTTACATTTCCCTGGTCAACAGAGAGCATTATTGACCATTTAGGTTTACTGTCCTATATGATTAGCCTAGTCCCCTATGGATTCTTTTGGGTTATTGACCTAGAGGAGCTCTTTACATATGATAGCTACTAAGCCTTTTGTTGAACACATTACAAACTAACTCATTTCCAGCCAGGCATCTGTCCGTTGGCATTGCTTATGGTTTGTTTATTTGTTTGTTTTTGTTTTCTATCCAGGGGCCTCTGAGGCATTATGGACTGTTTCACTCATTCCCCTCTGATTCTGTTCCCAGGTGTCCAAGGTGTCCAAGGCAGCCCAGATGGCCATCCCCAGTTCAAGGATCGTGCAGTTGGCAAAGCCCAGGCCTCCGGCCACCCTTTTGGAAGAATGGGACCCTGTGCCAAAACCTAAGCCACATGCATTAAACTATAACCGGCTCCTTTACTTGGCCAGTAAGTAGGTCCTTGTGTCCATCCCCACTGGACACAGGCAGGGGCGGGGAGCAGTCAGAGACTTGGACTTTAGGCCTGCTTCTGCCAGATGGGTGCTCCCTCTTCATCTCCTCCCTCAGCTGCAGACCAGTTGTTGGATTCCTGTGGGTAAGTCATACTGTGCATGCTCCTAGGGGAAGAGAGGCAACCATTATAGGGGCCATGGTTCTGAAACTGAGTGCTGTCTGAGTGGGTCTCCTAGTAGGACAAAGGGGTGCAGAAGAGAAAGTTGGGGGGACAGGGCCAAGAATGAGGGAGCCAAGCGAGGCGATGGGCAGCATTGTTTTCTAAGCCTTACCCAAGGACATTCTGGGGAGAGAGGGAGGGAGGGAGGGAGGGAGGGAGGGAGAGAGAGAGAGAGAGAGAGAGAGAGAGAGAGAGAGAGAGAGAAAGAAATATCAGAGAGAAACAATTTGGTTGCCTCCAGTATGAGCCTTGACTGGGGATTGAACCTGCAACTTAAAGTGTGTGCCCTGACCAGGAATCAAATCAGCAACCCTTTGGTGCATGGAACGGCACTCAACCAACTGAGCCACTCTGGCCAGGCATGAAGGGCAGCTTTGAAGGGGTGTTGGCCTGATTCTCTTCTGTCCTGTAAAACAAATCAGATACCCCGTCTCGCCATGACAGCAGTAATGTGTACCAGCTGTAGAGAATTGGAAAAATGCAGGCTAGCCTAGAGAAGAAAGGAACCCACCCAAACATAAAGCAGTTTTGTGTGTTTCCTTCTGGGTATAACACTTGCAGAGCCACAAACGCCTGCCGTTGAGTGTGTGCCCGTGAGTGTGCACGCTACAAGCGCTCTCCTGCCAGTCCCCTCCCATCACACACTGCATCCAATGCACTGACAACTCCTGTGGGCTTGGTCTTCTGAGCACATGAGGAACCCGCCCACAGCTCCCCCTGCCCTCCGCATGGCCCCCTAAGGTGTCCCTGGACCAGAGCAGTCGCCTCCACCCGTATCCCTGGTGCCACCCTTGCCCGCTTCCCGTGTGGCAGCCACAAAGATCTTGCTAAATTTAAGCTGGATTCCCCCCTTCTCTGCTCATGACCCTCCCAGGGTCCTGTCTCACTCTGTGTGGCCCACAGGCCCTTGTGATCTGTTTGACCCTTGCCCACCCCCTCTACGTGGTTCCTCGCCCGCTGCCTAGAACACTGACCACAGACACCTGCATGGCTCACTCCTCTGCCCCCCATGGGGCGGAGCTCCATATGTCCTCTAGGTGAGACTCCTCTGAGCGCCCTGCTTAACCCATAAGCTATGCCCACCTCTGGACACCTGTGTGCACCGTTACTGCTCTGAGCTCTTATTCTGTAGCATCTGCTGCATTCTAACATACGTATTTACAATATGTTGATGTGTCTCTTCATTCTCTGCGGTCTGTTATAAGCCAGGCCTGCAATGCCAGAGGCTTTGGAGATGCTGTGTGTCCCCCACTCCTGGTAGATAATCACCAGAGGGTGTGACTGGCCATTCTGGTTTACTCTGCCCTGTCATCTCCCCAGTTTTCTATTTCCTGTGTTTTTTGGTTATTGATTTAGAGCAGCTTTTTATATAAGGTGATCCCTAATCCTTTGTTGAGCACATTGCAAAATACCTTCTCCCCAAATCCGTATTCTCTTTTAACTCTGCTTACAGGATCTTTTGTTTGTTTGCTTAATTCATTCATTCATTTATCCTTTCCCTTAATACTTATTAAATGATTGGTTAAATGAACAAAAACATATGAGTACATATGCACTGCTTCATAAGACCATTTTGTTTCTCTCTCACATATACCCGGAATATAAATATATACACATTTGTACCTACACATTCATCTATATATTGATCCGTATTTCAGATGTACCTGTAAATACACATCCGTGTGTGTGTGTGAATATGTTGGGTTGTGCTTTTCAAACACCAAACTTCCACCCACTAATGGGTGTGACCAGCATTTAAAAAATTGAAATGATGACAAACGAAGAGCATGAACTATGTGGGTATGAGTCCATTATTCTCTGTGTGACCACATGTGTGCTGTGTGTGGTGGTGGATTTCATCAACAGAGTTTAATATTCCAGAGATTACAACAGTGGAAATACTCCAGAATTCTCACACAGGAGGGCAGAGAAGTATGGGTTCTGGCCATGGTCTTCCCAGCCCCGCAAGGGGCCACCGAGGCCCAACTGCTTGGGCCTCTACCCTTTGGAAGGAATGGTCATCTGCCCGGCAAAGCCCTGGTACAGCCTGGATGGCCTTGCCCAGCAGTGGGCCTGTGTGGGCTTGTGACTGCCTGGAGGAAGGAACCCCACACGCTTTCATCAAGGGCCCCTCCACCGAGCCAGGGCCTGTCTGCTGAGAAGGGGGGAGATGGCCTTTTCCATTTGCACAGAGGCTCTAAACCAGTGGTTCTCAACCTTCCTAACGCCGCGGCCCTTTAATACAGCTCCTCATGTTGTGGTGACCCCCAACCATAAAATTCATTTCGTTGCTACTTCATAACTGTAATTTTGCTACTGTTATGAATCGTAATGCAAATATCTGATATGCAGGATGTATTTTCATTGTTACAAATTGAACATAATTAAAGAATAGTGATTAATCACAAAAACAATATGGAATTATATATGTGTTTTCCAATGGTCTTAGGCGACCCCTGTGAAAGGGTTGTTCGACCCCCAAAGTGTCGCGACCCACAGGTTGGAACCGCTGCTCTAAACACAGGGGTTAGAAAGGAGCCTGAGCGCCCCTCAAAGCCAAGGATCCTGAGGCTTTCAGACACTGAAGGCTAAGTGACCAGTGGTGATCACCTCCCTTCTAGTCCCTAAAGGAGGGGGTGGCAGAGAGGTGGTGAGAGGGACCCTGGCCACAGTTCTCTGCACCTGAGAGCTGCCCGTCATGACAGCAGCCACTGGCCATGATTTCAATGCAATTAAAATCAATCTATCAGTTGATCTAAATCAATTAATTGCTTTCATTAAAACTAAATAGAAGAAAACTCCAGCCCATATCAGGTGCTGCCGCATGTGGTTGGTAGGAGCCATGTTGCCAGCACTCCTGAGAGGGCCTGGCTGAGGCTGCAGTCATGTTGGACAGTGAGGGCAGGAACCCAGAACGAGGTGGGAGGCTGAATCCTGAAAGGGCCTGTGCACCCAGGAGCTGCCCTGGATCCACGCAGCAGTCCTGCAGGGCCAGCCAAGGAGAGCTGCCTCCTGTGGCCATTACTCGCCCCTTCTCCCCACCATGACATCAGAGGAGGGAGGAGAGAGTGTGAAAGGCCTACTGAGCCCCCAGGACACTTTTGACTGGCCCCTCTGAGTCTCCTGTCCAGGATGTGACCATTTGAAATTTTTTTTCTTACAATTTACCCTTTTATTATTTTTATTTTTTAAATACATTTTTATTGATTTCAGAGAGGAAGGGAAGGGGGAGAGAGAGAGATAGAAACATCAGTGATAAGAGAGAATCACTGATCAGCTGCCTCCTGTACGCCCACTACTGGGGATTGAGCCCGCAACCCCGGCATGTGCCCTGACTGGGAATTGAACCCAGGACCCTGCAGTCACATCGATTGATTGCCTCTGCATGCACCCCGACCAGGGCCCATGCCAAAGAGAAGCCTACAACCATGGTACATGGCCTTGACCAGAATCAAACCAGGGACCCTTCAGTTTATGGTCCAACGCTCTATCCACTGAGCCAAACCAGTTAGGCCAATTTATCCTTTTAAAGTGTAAATTCATTATACCTCCATAAAAAAGAAAGAGTACATTTCAGTGCTTTTTAGTACACTCAGAGTTGTGTACTCATCACCACAATAACATTTTAGAACATTTTCATCACCCCAAAGAGAAACCCCCTATTAGCAGTCACTTTCCACCCTGTCCCCAGCCCCTGACACCCACAAACCCACTTCCTGTCTCTGTGGGTGTGCCTGTTCTGGGCATTTCACATCGATGGAATCGCACAGTGTGACCTTCTGTGCCTGGCTCCTCTCACTGAGCAGTGTGTGTGCCAGGTCCATCCGGGTTGTAGTGAGTGCTCCACTCCTTCTCATGGACGAGTGATATTCCAGTGTGTGGATGGGACATGTTGTTCTTTTCCCTTCCTTCATCACTGGAGAGGCCCTTGAACCTGGGAACTTTGACCTTGCAGGTTGCTCTCCCTCGGGGGAGTGCCTGATGCTGTCACTCTCTCCTGCCCCTGTAGTGCCCAAGGCCCAGTCAGATCAGTGTGTTCCTGACCGAGATCCACGCTGGGAGGTGCTGGACGTCACCAAGAAGGCAGTGGCCAGTGCCCGGATCCACTTGTTGGCCAAGCCCAAAGTGCGGAAGGAGCTCAATGAGGGCTACGACCCCTACTACATTTCCCCGGCTTCCCTGAAGGCTCGGGCATCCCCTCGCCTATATGAGCTCGCCACCCCCAAAAGCATCACCAAAAAAGTGTGACTGAACCCAGGCCGGGCCTCTGAGGCCTTATTCCCAGTAAATACCCAAGTGCATCCTAACCTTGTATGTGTGGCTGGCTCTGAGAATTTTGGCCTGGAGGGGGGAGGGCAAGCTGGAAGGCCAAAAGAATAAGAAGAGGAAAAATAATAATATTTATGTTCGCATCACCTGTGATTTGTACAGTCCTTTATTTCTACAATCACTTTTCCCCGCTGTCTTGACTTTCTCAGATGTCACACATCAGCCTCCCACAACTACACAATTTCCCCCCGAATCTATGTCCAGACTTGCTTATCCAGATACGTCCGAGGAACTACCAACCACTCATTTGTGCAAGACACCTTGGCCGAGCTTCATGCCCTTCCCACCTGCCTGCCATCGGGGGTCTTGTGGCGTGTACCTTCCCAGCTCGCTCCACGTCCCTGCTCCCGGCCACCACCTGAGTCCTGCCGGACGCCTCCGCCTACTCACTGCCTCCATCCTCTCTTGCTCTCCATGAACCACCTGCCCGATGCTCACAGCACTTGTAAGTCTGAAATTTAAAATGTAGTGAACCCACCAGGACTGTCCTGTTCAAACTCTCCCCCAGCGCCCACCACAGGTTCAGAACCTGCAGACGGTCCATCATCATGAATTCAGAGCTGAATGGCCGGCCATGGGTTTGAATCCACCTCTCCATCCTCAGTCGGCACTCGTGCTCCTTGGTATAGACAGGGTCGCGGTGCCTGTTAAAACTCGCCCGACAGTGCATCTCGCAAGCTCCCCGATCGGTTCTTTGGAACACGGGATGGACCATCACAGATGAAAAACTGAGGAAAGTTCCAGAACCACGCTACCGACGTCGGTCCTGGCACTACCACTTGTGCATTGGGTGCCCCATCATTCTAGGCCTCAGTTTCCTCACCTGTAACACCGGGTACTTACAGTATTTAGCGAAGCTATTGGAAGGGGGAACTAGGACCAAAGCTCCCGACACAGGTGGTGTTATCAGGAATCAATGTTTTTATTAACAGCATCCTCCGCGTACCACGCCGAGGCCGAGACCCCCAACCCTCGCTTCCCGAGCCCGCCCCGCC